AATTTACCTTTATCGAAGGCTCCAGCATTACCAATAAGCTTCACCACCGGGCAATCAGCAGCAGAACCGTCTGAGTATTTCGACTCGAAGAACTCTTTCTGGGCAGAATCAAGGTTGTCGTAGGCCCCTCTCAGATCGTCCAAAATTGATCGGAATTTGGTCACTTGATCAGGGCGGAGCTTGTCGTAAAAATCATTAATTGCACTCATTTCTTTCTCACTGTATTGCTCTCCCTCAGAAGCCTTGATTATATGCGGATGGAAGCGGAAGTCAATTTTATTTTTGTCGCTTACTATTGCTTCCTATTTTCTTCAGCGATGATACGAAAGGGACAAGTTTCAAAATAAGAATGCAAAAAAAAATATAGAAAGCAACTTTTTAGGTATAAACAGGAAATTTATTGAAATAAAGCGGCAGCTGTTTTTTGTGGAAGATGAGTTTTTTCTTCATTTTTTTTCTTCGTTATTTTTTGTCGGCTGCTACCATCTTGTGGTCTTCTGTACAGACGTGCGTTCTGCCATGTTTGATTCATGTTCTTAGTGGCGCGATATTTACACAAGAAAAACTTATATCAAAAAGTAAAAGTAGTTTTTTGGGGGATTGGGAAATTCAGGGTTGTTGGTTTTCTTTTTTTTAAATAGTACTCGCGTGTTTTATTTTGTGATGATCGTGGATGGTCGAAATTTTGTCGACCGCGACGATGAGTTAAAAATTAAAACAACAAATTTACAAAAAAAAAGACAAAAAAAAAATGTGGCATAAAAGATAAAAAAAAATCGGCGAGATTTTGTTTGAAAATTGAAGAAGTCTTTTTTGAAAGCGCAAAATATAAAACTACGGAAAAGGAGACGCGAAACAGGACTTCAAGGAAAACAAGTCAAGGGGTCAATTTTGTACTGCGACTGATTTTCACCTCTTACGCCCTGGTTGTGGTCCATTTCCGGATACTGCTCGGTGGAAGGGTTTTAATTTCGGCTTCGGTCGTTTCCGAAGATCTTGGGCTGTCCTCGTTGACCTTGGTAACCGTATTCCTGCACGACGAGACCTGAAAGATGGTTGATAAAATGGCGCAAAAAGAGGATTAAGGGTGTAGGCATCGATAAATCACTGCGTTGAAAACGTACCATCAAGAGAAAGACAATCGTTGTAGTCCTGAATGCTGCCTCTGTTCATGATCTTGAAGCTTTCGCAACCCTTAAAAATTTTAGTAATTTTGAAAAGGCATTTTTTGAAAAGTACGTTGATGGCGCAGCAGAATTTCTTGTCCATATCAAACGAAACTCGTCGGCAGCAGCATCGCTTCTGCGAATTGTAAGCCTGTCCGTTGCAGCAGCCGATCTTGACGTTTTTCATCTCGAAAAACTTCTTTCGGAGGCGGATGAGGCGGATCTAGATAAGTTGATGAGGAAGGAGTTAGTTTTGCATAAACATCAAAATTTTAATTTTTATTTAGTACTTATTTAGCTCAAATTTTTTACCTCCTCTCGGCTCAAGCTTTCTTCTTCGTAGTTGGCGGGAACGAGTTGTTCTTCTGGGATTTCTCCGACGAGTTGGACCATTGTGGCTTCATCTAGAAAGAAAAATGAAGAAATGAAACACCAGAATAATAATGCAACTTGTGTCTTTATGAATTTATCGATTGTTAGATTCATGGAATTTAAATAAGACCCATACCAGCTGTTATCCAATCCAGCAGAACGTATGTTCCTTATAAGAAAATCATAAAATTAATTATTACCTTCTTCTGGCTCTTCAAATTCCGTCGAAACAACACCCCCACTGACTGGATCAACAGAAGACAGATTGAATTCCGAGATTGGATTTCGTCGTGGAGTAACTTCTTGCTCTTCCTCTTCCTCGACTTCTTCAGAAAAGATTCCCATGTGAGCATCTGGGAAGGGAGCGTCGGGCCCATTGTATCGCGGGTAGATGATTTCCTGGAGCGGCTCGACATCCAAACCGACGTCCATTTGCATGCCGGGAGCGGGCTCTTCTTCTTGGTGAGAGTTTCCGCCCTTGTGCTTTTTGTGGATTTTGTCGGCGTCCATGCATGTCAGGTGACCGTTGTCAGATCGGGTCACCTTTCTGAATCGCTCCAAAGAATCGGGCTTGGGCTCTTTTCCCTGTCGTCGGAACTTGATTCCGTTCAAGACTGAAAATAAAAAGTTAGTTTCAATATAAAAAATTGAGGAAAAAATGATTATGAAGCGGGGTTGTATGGCACTAGCGCGTATTAAATTCCAAATGCGATAAAGCGATCAAAAGGATTTTGCCCGATGCGTTGGCACACGTGACTCTTGGCTCAAGAGTAGTGCCATCCCAGATGCGTGTATCTCTCTCTATTCCAGTCCTGAGACTCGCCCCAAAACAACCGCGAGCTGAATTTACGAGGGTATTGGACAGAGGGTTGAAAATTGACAATTTCTTTCTTTTTTCTTTCAAGTGGCAATTTTCGCAGCCACGTCAATCAAGAATTCAACACAGAAAAATCGCGACGAATGTCTCGTTTTTTGGTTCTTTGAAATCGAGTCTCGCGCAGCCGAGGAATGCCAATTTTTTGGCAGCTGACGTAAAATCAGACGAAGGAAGAGAGTTAATCGCGCCACAGACATCGTTAGAGTGTGGATAAGTGACCACACGTGACCTGGCTCACTGGAGCCATCTGCTCCGCTGCGAATCGTGAAAAAGACATTTTTTCATTTTCGCGGTCTCGTGGTTTCGGAGGAGCACATTATCACCTTCGCCAGGCGAAATTCCGCAAGGAGCAGGGGCCAATTTTAGACAACGAGAGGCTGACACCCCCTCGGAACGAAGACCCGTCTTTTTCGGGTTAAAGGATCACCCCGCAAAATCAAGATTGTAGAAATCAAGTCATTTTATGAATTCAGTTGAAAAAAAGTTCATTTTTAAGACATTGACTTTAGAGAGCTTCAATTGAAAGCCGTGCAGCGGCTTTTCCAAAAACGAAGCCGCTTCGAAATCTCAAAGAGATGACGAAAAAAATTATGGCGAAGCCGCTCTGCGGCTTCGTTTTAAAAAAAGCCGCTACGCGGCTTTCAGGAAAAGCTCTTTCAAGACCCTGACGTTATTTTTTAGACCGATTCATTTCCCGCATCATGGAAAATCCTTTAAATATTTTGCTGGACAACTAATTGAAAATTGAATTGTCGCAATTGGAAATTCTAGCTAATAACAGAGGCCCCGGAAATGTCCCCATGTTCGTCTCTACACGCTCCTTTCGCCCTACTCCGAAACCGCTCGACTGGCCGGTCGAAATTGATTTGTTGAACGCGGAGGAAGAGTAAGAACTAGCCTCAGCGACAAATGTCGCAACGAGAGAACATTAGAGGTCAGTCTTGTCGGGCCAAGAGCCGAACAAGCATGTGATTTAAGGGCGAAGAAACGAGCTTCATAACGAGCACGGAGCGATCTTAAACGCTCTATCATTATTTGCACTACTAGGGTTCAACGAAAACAATTTACCAAGCGAAATTTTTTCAAGCTTTTTTCAATTTTTGGGTCAAAAAATGACAGAATTTCTCAAATAAGAAGCTTTTTTTCAATTTAAATCATTATTCGTAGTTTTAATTGGAAAATTTGTCATTTTTTGAGCCAAAAATAGACGTTTTAAACCGTGTAAATGGTCATTTCCAACTTTGTAAGTTGTTTGCTGAGTAAACTCTTGTTTTGAAACATGTTTCTTAGAAGTTCCTATCGCTGAAAAAAAGGACTTTTCCACGAGGCATCTATAGAATCGCTGTTGGCACAACAAACCCTTCGCGCTCAACCCCACGATGAGTACTACCGAGAAGAGGGCCACTTGCCAGATTATCCCAAACGGAGCTAGGCACCGTTGTCCGCGGCTTTTCAAATACTTCACGATAAATTTCAGTTCTACTTCGACAAAAAATTCATCCTTAAAAATTTTTTCCAACGAAAAATCCTTCGAAAAATTGAGCATCAACCCTAACCCTAACCCCGGCAAAAAATCATCAAAGATACCCCTTTTTCCATCAAGAAACTACCTTCCTCGCCGAAAAACGGCGCCCTACCCTTAATAACAACGGGATGAAGGGCTGGGCCGACGTTGCCCCTAAAAGGCTTATGCTTAACTCGTAAAAATCGACAGGTAAAACGGCCGTCGATTTTACGCTGTGGCGCTTTTGCGGTGATGAACTTGATAAAATCCTCTTTCTTGAGGATTTTCGCTGACCAGGGCCAGCTCATTTTCACTTATACTTTTACGAGATCGTATTTCGCCCTATTTGGGAATGGCGGCAGCTGTATTTTGGGAGACACTTGTATTTTCACTTGTTGAGCCTTTTTCCGGAGCGTTAGAAGCGTGCTCGTATTTTCACAGGCGTCGCCAAAATGAGCAGCTTCTTGACTCGACTTGAAAAAACATTTTTTGAAATGAGCAGTCGCCGCTCATTCGAGATAAAAATTGATAAAAGACGAAAAAAGTAATAGAAAGAAAAACTATTTTTTCAATCGACATTTGGCTTTTAGAAAATTGAACTATCCTTTTTTTTGAAAATGTTTTTCTTTCTAAAAATCCAGCTAAGGAATAAGGGAGCGCAACCAATACCGAAGTGCGGTAAGGGTGTGGCGCAAAGGAAAGAGCGTTCATGCCGGAAAATGACCTAACGTTGGTTAAAGCGAAAACAATCAGTTAGAAGAAACGATGACTGGATGGAAGATCAAGCAAATGTGCAAATAGCTGCTGGTTCTGCTGCTGACTTCTGACAGAAGCCCCCAAAAGAGCTGAGCCAATTTGCCACCCGCGGGAGCAAGATGGAGCGGAGATCAATCAGTTAATAGGCTTTTTTTGACGACTTTTTCAAGAAAAAAAAGCTTTTTACTGAAATGCCTCTGACCCATTTTTAGCCACTTTCAAAGTCTTTCTTTAATTTTTCTTACACAAATGTTAAATTTAATTAATGTTCGTTCGGACTTATTTTCAGAGGATTTCAGTTTAATGATTTTACGTAAAACAGAATCTAAATTCCTCCCGCCTTTTTTGATGGCAAAACAACGGTGGTTGTCTTTCCCACACAAGAGCTCTTCCATGCGTCTCTGTTCCATTTGGGATTGTTGAAGACTCCTTGGAAGCAGTGAACTCGACCACTGACGCTTCCGTCTTCGCAGACAACCTGGTAGCTCGCTCGTTTCTTGTTGATCACGTTGGCAAGCTCTAGTCTGCCGTCCGAGATAGCAATCGTCGCAGCTCTGGCAATGCATGGATGAGCAGGCTTGGCGGAACATTTCAGCTCCATTCCGATCGGGAGATTTCTTAATTAAAAAATATAAATTGATTCTGAAATCGAAAACTTACTTTCTGACGATCGTAGCCGGGTCCCCGCATCGAGCCATAAATCGGGCGGCATCTTTTTTCGGCTTTGAAATCGACTTCTCTGTCCAGTCAGGAAGGAAGCCTTGGCCGCAAGTTGGATGGCATCGGACCTTGGATCTGGTTTGTCCATAGCCTGGACAAGCCCACGATCCGTTCTCGATAGGAAAGGCAGCTTGAGTCTCGTCGATCTTTGCATCGCAAATGACTCGTCGACTCTCTCGTTCTTCGGCAGTCAGCGAAGCGTACTGCTGGAAGTAGCCGGCGCTAGCTATTTGAGCTAAAATACAATTCAGAAGCTTCATTCTCGAGCTCGGATTTTTGATAATTAATTGGTCTTGCCCGAGTTTATAAAGAGCATAGCATGTTTTTACTTCAACTAGAATTTGCGAGGGCAACATAGCGCTCTACCAGATAGACACAAATTTCGATAATCAAAAAATGCTTGTTTGGAACAAAATTTATTTCGAACTCATCGAAAGTACTCATCTTTTTCTATTATTTTTAAAAAGCAATAACAATATTGTCTTTTCTGGGACGTACGTAGTACGGTTTTTCGAAAATTTACTAATGTTCACTAATTTCACAATGTGAAAAATTGAAAAGTGAATGATAAATGACAATTTTTAACAAAACAAAACTCCAAAAATTGGCTTTTTCAACCTAAATCACCATAACTACCCAATTTTTTCTCCACGTTTGCTTCTTAGTACTCGTTTAAACAATGTTTTTTGACAGTTAGATTTTCACAATTTTTAAGGATTTGGCCGTAACCTTTGTTAAGAGTAACGCCCACTTCGACGAAAATTTTTTCAATCTTCGAAAATTTTTTTTGAAATTTTTCCACGTTGACTTCTTCATTTAACCCTTTATTATCCCCTGAAATTAGAATTAAAGAAATTAAAATTTTTTTAATTATGCTTGTTCAAAAAGTCAAGAAAGCGACCACCTCCCCCTTAAATTTGATTTTTTACTGCAGCTGATTTTCGACATTTTGAGAAAAAAAAGTCTCTTATTATGGACTCCGACTGTAATACAGTTCGATCCGGGGGATTCGGTCAATACAGTGACCTATTTTAAGCACTCACTGATCTTTAGAAAGAAACTGCATTATGCAGTTAGGGTTAGGTCGTTAGGTTAGGTTTTTTTCTCCTTACACTTCGACATCTAAATTTCGTAAATTTCCGGGTTAGGGATGAGCCTTATTTTCAGCGCCTGATCTCGAGGTCGTTTTGTAGCTGCTCGTTCCTGTTTTCGCCTCGTTCACAAGGCATTTTTATCACTTCTTTCAAATGGCTTAAATCACCAAATACCACGAAAAAAATTTTTTTTACCCGTCCGCAAAATTTGAAATCTCCCATAGATGAATTTAGACAGGATCTGAACTAGATCTTCAAGTGCCAATTGACTCGTTTAAAAAGACAACTATCAATGTTTCTCTCTTTATTGCAAAAACACGGGCACTTGCTTAGCCATAATCATATTCTCTCGAAATTAAGGTCAAATGCTTGTGGGGCACATCGTGTTTGGAATTATCAAAAATAGATTAATTTAGACGCAAGTTGGCCCAGATCTTCGACGCAATGAAAATGTGGGTCATATGAATACTATAAAGTGATACCTATAACTTATATAAAACTCCCAGTTTCGAGTTATTTGAAATAAATATAAGGTCAAAACTACTAGGAGTTAGGGCCATGTTTTTATCTATCCATAAGAAAGCCTTTTCCAAGAGCTTTTGAATGATCCAATACGAAGCTCCGATGGTGGTGATAGATTTTTACGTCCGCGGCCTACTTCTTTCCACAGGTCTACTTTTACATTTTTCAGATCAAGACGATCGTTTGAGCTACGTTTCTGTTCCGAACTCAGATTACTCCGCAACCACAATCGCCTCTGAAATGAATAGATCGAGAAGCACCGACTACGAGTCGGAAGAAGAGTATATGTGAGTGTTAGCTCTCGTCACAGTCAGTCATTGCATCTACTCTGTCTGTGAGCGCTTACCTAACCAAACTGATAACAACCGGTACTGCTTCTTTTCTATGCATGCAGCTCACTCTTCACTCAAGGAGTCAAGAGCAATAAGCTCAAATAAAACACCAATACCTAGATACATATACCAACAAAGTTGTACAAAGTTGTTTTCTTCCTTGATTCCGATACCGACCGCAGTTGACGAGCAATTTACCACTCTTACAGTATGAAAATGCATAACCATTCCAGTTTGGTGATGATCAACAGAGCGTAGCGATAGAAGATACACCAGAGACGAGCGATCCCTCTCTAGAACTTCCTCCACCTCCTGTCTTAAAGCCTCCTCTTTCCAACTTTTCGATGAAGACGTTCCAAAGCTTGCCGTAGACGGATCACCCTCAGTGACGCCTTGAAAGTTGATATTGATTATTGCGTATGAAAATAAAGCGCTACTTTAAAATAATGCTCGAGAAATAAATTTCTAAAAAATATTATCATAAAAGAACCTCCCCGGTAAACAAAAATTGATGAGAGCTTATTTTTAATGTCAAGAAGGATGATTATCCTTTGATCTGATGACCAATACATAAAAATTGATCAGAGCCTCTTTTAAAATCGAGAAGGATGATTATGCACGAGTTGGGAGTTGAATCATTCAAAACTACGCGGGCCCATTGAGCGGGCGAACATTGCCCAGAGCGATCAATAGCAGCCACAGTTGGCCAATAGATAGAGCTACAGCGAGTTTTGGGTTCGCTCCCGCGCGTTTTGACACTTACTCCCCATTCACGCACGCTAAAAGCTCAAAGAGGGAGCCTCAGTTTGCTCAATTAGCTACGAAATAGAAAGTATATTTACAGAAGGAGAAATCAGAAGAAGCTGTCAGTAAATATTGAAGAACAATGGGACAGGTGTTTGAAGAGTGGCAACATGAGTATGCGAATGAACAGGTAAATCAATATTTCTTCTTCAAAAAGTTTGTTTTTGAATTGAGATTTAATTAATTTATTAAATAGAAAAATTATTGACGGTACACATCGTGCTGTAAAGGAGGATAGATTACGTTTTTCATTCATTTTTTGATAAAAAAACTAAATAAAAATGATATTTATCGGGACATTATGGTCTTTATTTCGCTCTAAAACAATCTCCCCCCTTTCGTTTATTCAAAATTCTCCATCAATCAAGCTCAAATTGCCGTTAATTAGTTTCATCTTTCGAAGCCCCGCGCACGAGTTCCCTCACCCGTGACCATTTTCACACAGATTTAAAAATATCCATTTTGACCTTTTTGAAATTTTCCAATTTAGGTTTCTGACCTAAACAGAGACATGGTGAGAACACGAGCGGATCGGATCCGGGCTGCCATGTTTCCCGAAACTCTTGACGACGGATCGAGCTTTGTTTCGACTCAGTACGAAACTGGAGAGGCCACCTGTGTTCAAAAGCTTGCCCAGCCGAGCCAACTGCTCAAGGAGGCCATTGTCATGCTGATCCACTACAAGGATGATGTCGATGTAACCGCCATTGCCATTCCGGAACTAATTAAGGCAAGGGTTCATTAATAAATTACGACTTTGAAAGTCTACTTGCTGCATCTTTTTTTCTGCGTCTTTCAAATTCAAATTGACAACCCAATAAAAAGCTGTTGCAAGATCCTGACCGCGGCGTCGCTCGACAAGCAGCTGGCACCGTTTTCCAACTTGCGAAAAAAGAAGCCCCGCGACATGCGCTCATTGAAAGTCCCGATCTCATCCCCGCCATCGTCAAGGTCCTCACGACCAACGACGACCCTGAAACCGTCAAGGCCTTGGCTGGTACTTTGACAGCGATTTCTGGATCGAAAAAGGGTCTCTTGTCGATTTTCCGATCCGGTGGAATTCCCGCTCTTGTCAAGATGCTCTCTTCGCCCGTCGAAAAAGTGGTCCATTACTCCCTCACCACACTCCACAACATCCTCCAACACCAGGGAGACGACGCCAAACGAGCCGTCCGATTGGCTGGTGGAGTCCAAAAGATGGTCGATTTGCTCTCAAAGGACAATGCTCCACTTCGAATGCTCGCTCTTTTAACTGATTGCTTGGAAATGCTCTCCTTTCAGCACCAAGAATCGAAGCTCATTATCGTCTCAAAGCACGGAACCCAGCAGCTTATTCGCATTCTCCAGCACAATGCCGATTATGAAAAGCTTCTATTTACCACGTGTCGTTTGTTGAAGGTCCTTTCTGTCGAGACCTCGAATAAACAAGTGATTATCGAGTGCAATGGAATGAACATTCTCGGCGCAATGTTGGATAATCCATCCAACAGAGTCGTTATGAACTGTCTCTGGACGCTTCGAAATCTCTCTGATCAAGCGACCAAGGAAGAAGGATTGGATGATTTGCTCCAGCGATCTGTTCGGCTTTTGGAATCGAACGATGTCGGAATCGTCATGTGCTGCGTTGGAATCCTCTCAAACTTGACCTGCAACAATGCGAGAAACAAAGCCCTCGTTTGCCACTTTGGCGGTGTCCAGGCGCTTGTTCAAACGATGCTCCAAGCTGTCGAGCGGGATGACATCACCGAACCGGCCATTTGCGCGCTGCGACATTTGACATCGCGACATGAGCAAGCAAAGGCGGCACAGGAAGCTGTTCGACATGGAATTCCAACGCTCGTGAAGCTCCTTGGCCCTGACTCTCACTACCCACTCGTCAAGGCAGTTATTGGCCTCTGCCGAAACTTGGGCATCGGATCTGCAAACCAGCAATATCTTCGTGACGCAGGAGCGATTCCGAAATTGATTGAGCTGCTTTTCCGAGCGGACGGGGAGATGTCCCGCGGCTACCGAGATGACGACGAAGATGGAGTTGTCCCGGAAGATGTAGCGGAAGGTTCCACTGGCGCACTTCACGTCTTGGCGCGAGATCCAATGAATCGACAGCTCATCCGACAATCCAATGTGATTCCAACTGTTGTTCGATTCCTGTCTTCTCCGAATGGGAATATGCAGCGAAGCGCAGGTAAGATCATATGCTTTCTCAAGAAAGACATTCTCTAAGATGTTTCAAAAAACGTAGTTTCAAATTTACAATAAATTTTCTAGCTGGTCTTTTGTGCGAACTCGCAACTGATAAGGAAGCTGCCGACCAAATCGAAGCTCAAAACGCCACTGTTATCCTCCAACCCCTCCTTCACTCTGCAAACGAGTGCGTCGCCACCTATGCCGCTGCCACGATGTACCGAATGTCTGAAGATAAGCCCCACGATATCCGTAAACGACTCTCCCAGGTAAAAACGAAATTGGATGAAAACAAAGTGATAACGATACAACTTTCACAGGAGCTGACAAACTCGCTCTTCCGACCAGAGGATTTGGACGATCACTACAACAACGACGAGGTAAATTAATCTTTCAATCTTCCTTCTCCTACTTCTTGTATCTTCCTTCTTCTTTTCCTTTCTTTTTCACTTCCACTAGGCTATTTTCCGCACAACACGTCCCATTTTCGGAATGGTTGACGCCCAGGCATGTTCAAAAATGATCATTAAAAAAATCACGGAAAAGCAAGAGCACGGATCACAAATCTTAGTCTGAGATTAATTTTGACCAAGATTCTGAGAAAGCTCTCTACAGAATTTCGATTATCGATTAAATTTTAATTTTCGATTAAATTTTAATTTTCTCATAAAAAAAAAACACGGAAAAACAAGTGCACGTATCACAGATTTATATTTTGGCACTGATTTTTGAATGAATTTGGAAAGAAAGCTGCAGAAAAAGCCGTCAAGGCCGCTGGAGAAGAATATGAAAAGCAAATGAGAGAATATGAAATTGCTGTGGAGAAGCAAAAGGAGGCAGAGAGGAATATTGATGAAGAAATTGCCAGACTCGAAGCTGCGAAAAGCAAGCCCAAGGTTTCAGGGAAGGTTCAAATGAAGAAAAGGAGCTCAAAAGATTTATTGTCATATTGTTGAACCAACAAGTAGCTCAAGTGACTCCAAAACCAGAAAGTGGAATTGAAAACACCTCGTTCGTGCGCGAGTCTCCCAGCCGAATGAGCAAGGCTTCCCTCCCTCAAACTCTCCGAGCATCGACTCATGCTTCCGCTCGTGCTTCCGGAAGATCCTCGGCAGTTCCCAAGCCTAGAAGCTCGCCGCCAGAAAAACAAGCGAAAATGGAAATTGATGAGAATTTGAATAGGCAATTTTGTTGAAAGAGAATTCTGCAATTCTTCCTGGTTTTCTTCCTTGTTTTCAACGAAAAATGAGTACCACAAACAATTCAAAGCACATCACAGTTTTCACTGAAGCGGATATTGAAATGATTTCTATTGCGGCTCAGAAATCCGAGGTTCAATAACAACAAGATTTGAGCGATTTGATTATTGGCTTGATTGGATCCAGATTTATCCTCCTTTCTCTAACTCCTTTCTTTCCTCCTTTGATTTCTAACTAACCTCTCCCTCCATTCTTTAAAATTATACAAGCATTTAAAACAAGTTCAGGTGACGACCTACCACGACGAAGGAACATCCCTCCTCCCCTCTGAGCACCGATCTCCGACCGCGATGACTCAAATGTCGCGCTCTGGCCACCAAACTCCCGACCAACAACTCAACGGTTGGCACGATACTGACATCTAAGCCAAAATCGACATGTCATTTCCTTAGAAAAATCCCTGTTTCCTTCACCAATGTTTGACCTAACTTTCCCTCTTTCTTTTTCCCCGAAAAATCAAAGCGTACTAAGCATTCTTTTCTTTACTGTTTTGACCGTACAAGCGTTTAATTAAAACATGTTGCACTCCGTAAAAGTTGTTGGTTCATCTATTTGTAAGAATTTCAAGATGACAGGTCAGCAAAAAAAGAAAGACCTCCCAAAGGTCATCGTTCTTTCATGCGCACATCATGAAACAAATACAATGCGATGGATACAATATCAAGATCAATCTCCGTAAACCGCAGAATAGTTCATTAAAGATTTTCTTTCTTCTGCTAAACTTCGTCAAAGCCATGAAGCACTTAAAAACGACGGCAAAAGTTCGGGTGCGGTCAGAACGAGAGTCGCTCGAGAAGAGATGAAGTTACTTTCTTCCTTCTTTTTGACTACGAGTGCGTTTCACTCGACAACTATTATCTCCACGTCTGCTACATCAACAACTTCATTCAGCCCAACAGAATCATCCCAGCCAGTCAGCTACTGCGAGTTTCCAAAGCTCAAGCAAGGCTGTGACCCGGACAATGGAGCAGCTTTCGGATCGTCAGTCAAATGCAAAAAGAAGTGCAACGGTTTTAAGGAAAGGAATTAACGTCTGATAATTTACAAGAAAATTTTTGTCGGACATGCTTAAATCCAATCTAAGCAAGCGACAAAGACAAAGACCAGGGTGATCAGTCGAAAATATGGTTCTGTTCTCTACTCAGTCGACTTCAAAGGGAAAACAAGGCTGCCAGCAGAGGAGGATTACGTCGGAATGGTTCGCTTCAAAATTTCCAACTGCGGCGAGTTCGTCACTGACCATCATCTCCACTTGCAAGATCTACATGTTTCATTTTCTGACCTCCAACTTGATGTCTACGAAAGTCAGTTCATCGGACATCAAACGCCGAAAAAAGAAAGACATGGGACGAAAGAAAGTGTTTTTCTCCAGTTTTCTCGACGATATCAACAACGAGAACTGAAGAATGAGAATGGTGACTCTTTGCTGATGGAGGTGAATTTCAATGAAGATCAGCACGACTTTGAAGCAGTGGAAGAATGCGTGACAAAAGCTAATTATTATTTCATGACCAAGGTGAGAATCAAGCTCTTTCAAAACCAGCCAAGCCTTAATTCAATTTTTAGCAAATCGATGAAGAAACCAACAACGAAGACTACACCAAATGTATGCTCCATTCACTCTACAAAGAGCCGATCGATTGGGAGGAAACTTTCGAGTTTCCACCCCTATCCATGCCGAAGACGAAAACTTGTTCAAGCCCTGGAAGTTCTTCGAAAATCGCTGGTGGACAAGAAACGAAAAAGGGAAGATACCCCTGGTTTGCTTGGAGCGAGAAGACGGGCTTTGATGAGACCGAAAACTGCGGCTTGACAATTTTGACAAAATACGAGGACGGTTCTGACGATTGGCTTGTGACAGACTCGTGGTGCTGCTACTTTGATATGTCCCGATTCAACATCCATATTGGCGCTTATGACTTGGAATACCCCGACAACGATGAATACATAATCAATCCCATCGAGTATCGAAATGGAATTCTATCTGAAACCAGACAATGCATGGTCAGGGTTCCGAATCTGATTGACAACGCACCCGATTCTTGTGCTGGCGGATCGTGTTTTGAGCCAGCTTGCTTATCAGATGTGGAGTTGGAAGAGTAAGTTAAATCTTGGGTTGAATTTTTGTCTTAATAATTTTTAGTGGAACAAGCTGCTATATAGCTGGCCTTGGTGACTACATTGAGTTCGTGCCCGAGCAAGCGACGGTTCTCCGTGATGCGGTTCTAATCTATTTGGATGGAGAATTCAAATCAATCGACGAAAATGACCCAGCAAAGACTTGCCTTGGTGATACTGGCGGAGGGCTCATCTGCCTCGTCGATGACTATCCTGTTCTCAAAGGCGTGCTTGACTACAATTGGGGCCTTTGCGCTGAGGTTGACGATTTAATCAGTGTCAGTTTTGTTGACGCGAACGAAATGGAGAGCTTTGTTCTCACTCCACCTCCTGTGACAGAACCAACCGAAACGTCGACAACTGACTCTTCTCCGCTTCCCACTGGTCCTGGAATCTTCCCAAATGCGACTTTCGAGCAGCCATCTTGGAAAAACATGACTTGTGAAACTCCTCTTGAACCAATCGAGAGCGAGCCTCTTACAAAAATCGTCGGCGGAACAGATGTGCCGATCGATGCGCATCCTTATTACGCGAACTTTGATTTCTCCTGCGGAGGGACATTGATCACAATGTTTGAAGATGGCTCTCACGATTTTGTACTGACTGCTGCGCACTGTTGTTTCGGTACAAATATAGATGATGCCCTTGTGCTTTTAGGAGTCTCAGTCATCGACCGGGTTGAACCTTGCAGTTTGGACCTTGAATTGCAAAACTTCAAGATTCACGAAGATTACGATCGTTTTGATTTCAACAGTACTGACGAGACTGGAACTCCTCATGACATCTGTCTTCTGAAAATTCCCAATGTCAAGCAGTCGCTCATCAATCAGTACGGCCCTGAGGGCCCAGAAACATGCGCATCGAAGATATCCCCAGCATGTCTTCCAGCAGACCATGTTGCCGACGGATCTTACTGCAAGGTTGCAGGTTATGGGGCTGGTAACGAGCCATCGCATCTTTTGAATGAAGTCGGCGTTTACACATTTTCTAACGAGTACTGTGAGGCAACGAATATGATAAGTTTCGAGCCAACAACTTGGGAAACGCAGTTTTGCGCTGGAATCCCAGATTTTGATGGCGATGGACAAACTGACGGAGGGAAGGATTCCTGCCAGGGCGACTCTGGAGGACCCTTGGTCTGCGAAGCTTTTGGAAAACCCGTTGTTTACGGTGTTGTTTCTTGGGGTTTCGGCTGCGCTGCTCCGAACTTTCCAGGAATTTACGCTAAAGTCTCCAATTATGTTGACTGGATATTCGATACAATGGACAATCTTCAAAATTCTTGAGCTTTGGAATAGGAACACGATCTTCACGAAAACACGTTACACAAATTGTCACTTATTTAGGCGATACTTCTTTTGCTTTTCTCAATACACTTAGCATGCAAAAAAACGGTTTGATTTTCTTGAAGTCTTATTTTGCTCATTTTATTGCATATTTTCTTTCAAGATACAATTTTTCTTTTATAAAAGAACACAAAAATGGCTTTGACCATCAGTTGTAGCTTCTGGGAGAATTTAAATTTTTAGAAACATTTTTAATTCGAAATAAAAATTTACCTTTATCGAAGGCTCCAGCATTACCAATAAGCTTCACCACCGGGCAATCAGCAGCAGAACCGTCTGAGTATTTCGACTCGAAGAACTCTTTCTGGGCAGAATCAAGGTTGTCGTAGGCCCCTCTCAGATCGTCCAAAATTGATCGGAATTTGGTCACTTGATCAGGGCGGAGCTTGTCGTAAAAATCATTAATTGCACTCATTTCTTTCTCACTGTATTGCTCTCCCTCAGAAGCCTTGATTATATGCGGATGGAAGCGGAAGTCAATTTTATTTTTGTCGCTTACTATTGCTTCCTATTTTCTTCAGCGATGATACGAAAGGGACAAGTTTCAAAATAAGAATGCAAAAAAAAATATAGAAAGCAACTTTTTAGGTATAAACAGGAAATTTATTGAAATAAAGCGGCAGCTGTTTTTTGTGGAAGATGAGTTTTTTCTTCATTTTTTTTCTTCGTTATTTTTTGTCGGCTGCTACCATCTTGTGGTCTTCTGTACAGACGTGCGTTCTGCCATGTTTGATTCATGTTCTTAGTGGCGCGATATTTACACAAGAAAAACTTATATCAAAAAGTAAAAGTAGTTTTTTGGGGGATTGGGAAATTCAGGGTTGTTGGTTTTCTTTTTTTTAAATAGTACTCGCGTGTTTTATTTTGTGATGATCGTGGATGGTCGAAATTTTGTCGACCGCGACGATGAGTTAAAAATTGAAAATATGAAAAACATGACTTGTGAAACTCCTCTTGAACCAATCGAGAGCGAACCTCTTACAAAAATCATCGGCGGAACAGATGTGCCGATCGATGCGCATCCTTATTACGCGAACTTTGATTTCTCCTGCGGAGGAACATTGATCACAATGTTTGAAGACGGCTCTCACGATTTTGTGCTGACTGCTGCACACTGTTGTTTCGGTACAAATATAGATGATGCCCTTGTGCTTCTAGGAGTCTCAGTCATCGACCGTGTTGAACCTTGCAGTTTGGACCTTGAGTTGCAAGACTTCAAAATTCACGAAAATTACGATCATTTTGATTTCAACAGTACTGACGAGACTGGAACTCCTCATGACATCTGTCTTCTGAAAATTCCCAATGTCAAGGAGTCGCTTATCAATCAGTACGGGCCTGACGGCCCAGAGACTTGCGCATCGAAGATATCCCCTGCATGTCTTCCAGCAGACCATGTTGCCGACGGATCTTACTGCAAGGTAGCAGGTTATGGGGTTGGTAACGAGCCAAGTCATCTTTTGAATGAAGTCGGCGTCTACACATTTTCTAACGAGTACTGTGAAGCGACGAATATGATAAGTTTTGAGCCAACAACCTGGGAGACACAGTTTTGCGCTGGAATACCCGATTTTGATGGCGATGGACAAACTGACGGCGGTAAAGACTCCTGCCAGGGCGACTCTGGAGGACCCTTGGTCTGCGAAGCTTTTGGAAAACCCGTTGTTTACGGTGTTGTATCTTGGGGTTTCGGCTGCGCTGCTCCGAATTTTCCAGGAATTTACGCTAAAGTTTCGAATTATGTGGACTGGATATTCGATACAATGGAGAATCTTCAAAATTCTTGAGCTTTGGAAATTGAACACGATCTTCACGAAAACACCTTACACAAATTGTCACTTATTTAGGCGATACTTCTTTTGCTTTTCTCAATACACTTAGCATGTAAAAAACGGTTTGATTTTCTTGAAGTCTTATTTTGATCATTTTATTGCATATTTTCTTTCAAGATACAATTTTTCTTTTATAAAAGAATACAAAAATGGCTTTGACCATCAGTTGTTGCTTCTGGGAGAATTTAAATTTTTAGAAACATTTTTAATTCGAAATAAAAATTTACCTGTATCGAAGGCTTCAGCATTACCAATAAGCCTCACCACCGGGCAATCACCAGCAGAACCGTCTGAGTATTTCGACTCGAAGAACTCTTTCTCGGCAGGATCAAGGTTGTCGTAGGCCCCTCTCAGATCCTCCAAAATTTATTGGAACTTGTTCACTTGATCAGGGCGGAGCTTGTCGTAAAAATCATTAATTGCACTCATTTCTTTCTCACTGTATTGCTCTCCCTCAGAAGCCTTGATTATATGGGGATGAAAGCGGAAGTAAATGTTATTTTTGTAGATTCCTATTTTCTTCAAGACGAGTTTCAAAATTTTGATGCAAAAAATTATAAAAATCAATTTTTAGGTATAAACAGGAAATTTATTGAAATAAAGCGGCAGCTGTTTTTTGTGGAAGATGAGTTTTTTCTTCATTTTTTTCTTCGTTATTTTTTGTCGGCTGCTACCATCTTGTGGTCTTCTGTACAGACGTGCGTTCTGCCATGTTTGATTCATGTTCTTAGTGGCGCGATATTTACACAAGAAAAATTATATCAAAAAGTGAAAGTAGTTTTTTGGGGATTGGGAAATTCAGGGTTGATGGTTTTCTTTTTTTAAATAGTACTCGCGTGTTTCGTTTTGTGATGATCGCGGATGGTCGAAATTTTGTCGACCGCGACGATGAGTTAAAAATTAACACAAAAAATTTACAAAAAAAAGACAAAAAAAATGTGGCAAAAAAGATAAAAAAAAATCGGCGAGATTTCGTTTGAAAATTGAAGAAGTCTTTTTTGAAAGCGCAAAATATAAAACTACGGAAAAGGAGACGCGAAACAGGACTTCAAGGAAATTTAGTCAAGGGGGCTTTGTTTGTACTGCGACTGATTTTAACCTCTTACGCCCTGATTGTTGCCACTTTCCGGATACTGCTCGGTGGAAGGGGTTTAGTTTCGGCTTCGGTCGTTTCCGAAGATCTTGGGCTGTCCTCGTTGACCTTGGTAGCCGTATTCCTGCACGACGAGACCTGAAAATTGGTTGATAAAAGAGCGAAAAGAAGGATTAAGGGTGTAGGTATCGATAATTTGTCTTACCATCAAGAGAAAGACAATCGTTGTAGTCCTGAATGCTGCCTCTATTCATGATCTTGAAGCTTTCGCAACCCTAGAAATCACCATTTTAGTAACTTTGCAAAGGTATTTTTGAAAAGTACGTTGATGGCGCAGCAGAATTTCTTGTCCATATCAAACGAAACTCGTCGGCAGCAGCATCGCTTCTGCGAATTGTAAGCCTGTCCGTTGCAGCAGCCGATCTTGACGTTTTTCATTGGCGTTGGAATTTGACGCCAGTTTGCATCGAAGAAAATTGTTCTTGGCTTCGGAGAGGGCTGTCAAAAGTTTCGATTTAGCTTCAAATTTTACAAAACTGATATCTTTTTATGAAATTACACCAACGAAAATAAATTACTCGCCGGAGCACATTCGCGCCTGGAATTGACGGTTGTATTTGTTAAAGTGTCGGACGAGTCTGTTGGCAGATCCCTTTCTACAAGCCCATTTTCGAGATGCCGAGACAAGCCCACTTTAAATTTTTTGCACTAATATTGCCTTCATTAGCCGTTTATTAACGTTCTATTGGTGAGAAAAAATTTTCATCAATGGGAAAAAGGAAGGAATCTTGGTCAAAAATTGTCAACCAAGATTAAGATAAGAATTTACTTCAAAATCTTAATTTTGACACTATCATTGCGTAAATTAAGGGTTAATAATCGTTATATTATCGATAGAAGAAAAATTTAATGGAGAGAATTCTCTGAATCTTGGTTACGAGAAAAAAGTTTCTTCGCACTTTAATTGGTTTGAAAAAGCCAGCCCCTCCGGCCATTTCCCCGCGGGGATTTGGCTGGAGGGGCTTTTTTACGTTTGGTCAATTTTGGCCTCAGGCTCGCCAAACGCAAAAAAGCCCCTCCAGCCTAATCCCAGCGGGGAAATGGTCGGAGGGGCTGGCTTTTTTTTTGGAAAATGTGAGAAATCTTGGTCAGAAAATTCTCAACCAAGATTTAGATGATTATTTTATTTCTTATTAAAAATTTAATGCTATTATCACGTTTATTAGCCCCTTCTTAACGTTATTTTGTCAATAAAAAATTTTTTATTATCAGAAAATAATAAAAATCTTGGTCAGAAGACATTCTGAACTTATAAATTGCGCGAAAGACAACTACTCTATTGGCGGAGAGACTTTTTCCAACTGGGCTTCTTTCGCGTATTGCAATCAGAAAATCTCCAGGAAAGAAAAAAAGAACTGGAAGATGTGCTACCTTGCTATGTTGGAAGATTCTACTGGCGACGCACAAGTTGAGTTCAAATTCAAACTCCCAAAAAACCAAATTTCTTCGATTTCTGTCACAGCTCACTCGGCGACTTATGAAAATAGAAAAGTCTTTTGAGTAAAAATCTAATTTATTTCTTTTTGCACAGAAAATGCTAGCTATTCTAGGTTAGTCCTTGGCATTCGGAACCGCTTTCGTAGCAATCTTTTTTTTAAATCTTGGTGCACCGCCCCGGAAGGTGGCCTCGATCGAAAAATTCTAGCGATCTCCCGCGGCGCGCCAAGATTAAAAGTTAGATTGCTCTGGAAGCAGCTGAACTGGCCTTTTTCGGATTTTTTGGACAGAGTTAGGGAGCCCTCGAAAACTTGGTTGGCAAGTCTCAAATCGTCGTCAGAGTAGATAAAGGGATTAAATTTAATTTCAGCTAGCAATCCCTTCTTACTTGATCTTGATTCTAGTAGATCCACACTCGAAGATCCAATTTTCTTCAAAAAAGAGTCATCTCCACTTTTAGGAGCGAGAAGATTCGACAGAAGATTTCTAGTTCTCGCTGACGCTTCGCCTATTGCTTCTGAAACAAGTTTCGAGTCGTTTTTAAATTTCAAGGCAAGTTGCATTTTTCGGAAATACTCGTTAGTTCATTTTCCATCATTTTTTGAAGCTCATCATCCTTGCTTACATCTTCGCAGTTGTATGTGTCGAGTTGTCGCATTGGTACAAGGCACGAGCATGTGAAGCTCCCAATTGTATTGATGCAGATTTTTTCGCACAAGTGATCCCCCTTTTCGCATTCGTCGACATCGAAACAGGTATCACAAAACAGACATCCAAAACAAATATCGCCGGTAAATCCTGATTGGCAAAACATTCGAAGCTCCTATCAATATTTTTACCAATCGAATTTTCAGGGCAAGCATTTTCCTCTTCACATTCATCAACATCATAACAGTCACAGCCATCATTTTCATTCCATCAACACAGTCACACGAGTAGCTTCCGATCGTGTTACTGCAGATCATATTTTCGTCATATAGTTCAAGGGAACACTCATCTTCATCAACACACTCCAGATTCTGGCAGTTTGAAAATCCAGAGCAATCCAGAGCAAAAATTCTTGCAGGTTGAAAATTCTGGACAATGCTCGTTTATGTCCCATATTGAAACTTTTGAAGCAGTCATCCTTTAGGACATTCGGCGAATGTTCTGAACTTGAAACCTGCCTGCCAAATAAGCGCCACCGAGCGGCATTCTCTTTGAATTTGAAAAGCTAATTTCTAAATCGGTCTTTTTTAAATTTATAAGATGCATCATAAGCTCGAGCAAATAAGCTTTTCAAAAGGCTTTTTTCAGAAATTCATAGCTGCTACTGGGAATTTTTGAGAGCGGTTTGAAAAAACACGAGTAAGATTCCCTGAATTTTCAGCGTGCGCGCGCGTTTGGCCCTCACAAATTTTTGTTAGCAGTTATGAATTTATAATACTGTTTTTAAGAAACCTTATAGGCTCGTGACTCTTAACCTTTTTTAAAAATTAAAAAAGGCGGTTTTTTGAATTTTCGAATTTCCACACGCGCGCCCTAATAGCAACATTCAGAGAGATTCCTCAAAAATTGGTTTCTTTCAATTTTTAAGAAAGTTTTCGAATCACGAGCCTTTTAGTTTTCTGAAAATCTTAATTTTATTTCCGTTGCTGAAACAGTAAATTTCTGGGGCCGAATCGCGCCCGCATAACGAAAATACAGCGCATCGCACTCGTGCACTTTCGAATTGCTCTCAAAAATTCATGGTAGCAGCAACGAGATTCTTAATAATACTTTTGACAAGCTTATAGGCTTGACATTATAAAGCTTGTTAAAAATTTGAAATAAGCCGATATTAAGAAAATCTTTCGATTTCTCTCTCAAAAGGCGCCACCGAGCGGCGGGCAAAAAGTTAATCTTTCCTGCTTCTTGGAATCGGCAGCTTGTGCGCGAAGTTTGTCTCACGCCGAGTTGATTTTATCACTTAGCTCCTCGATGGAGCTAGAGTTTTTTTTTTGAATAAATACAGCTTCAAGATTGTATCAATAAATCAAAATGCCAAGACTAGTTCATGCCAATGATGAAGAAAGAATGAGAGCCCGACAGGGAGCTTCGTATAGAAGAGCCAGAAGGGTTGCTCGACAAAGAGTTGCACCACTACAAAATCAGAGACGTAGAAATCAGAGAGAGACTGATAACATCCCATTGCTTCCAGAAGTTTTATTATCCACTATTCGAGCTACTGACAAAAATGCTTTTGGTGACATGGCTTGGCTAATTAAAAAAGGCCTTCCCATGGCATTAAAGGCATTGTCGAAGCATGGATTTACGCGGATAATTCAAGAGGACAGAGGAAACACTCCCGAATATTACGCCCAAGTTTACTCCATGTTTTCGACCGACCCGTGGAGTCCTTATTTTGATGGCGATGCTTTCAAGCCTGTTAGAGATCCGAGGTAATTTCAAAAGTAAGATTTTTCTGGCAAAATTTTTGATTGAAATTAACCTATTTTTAGATTTGCTGATGCTACTCAAGAATATCTCTACCATGAAAAAACCGGCGACTGGGACATTGCTGGAGTTTTTCTTCGGGAAAATTTCAAGCGACATGTGCTCTACGAAAACGACTGCGAAAAGCTCCGCGCCTTGGCGAATCTTTCATGCTTCAACTGGGAAAATACGCTCAACCTGATCCAACTTAAACAAATCTTTGACGAAAACTTGGCGGATGCAAAGTTCAAGGCGGCCATGTCCAGATACGTCTGCTCCCGATGCAAGTGCCTCATCAAGAACAAGGCAGAGCTCGTCAAACATGTGCGTGGAGTACATCCTGATCATCTTGTCCAAAATAGCATCGGCGAGCCTAGAGTCGATGAATGGCAAAAGACATCATTCAACAGAATGATCCAGTCTGATATTGGCAACCAGATGCTCTACGTCTTTTACGAGCAAGGCCCGATTCACCATGATTTGATGCAATCAACAAGAACACTCATCGCTGCTGCGCCGACAGAAAATCCCCGGATCGAAGAACACAACATTCATGTTCTTTCTGACCTTCCCACTGCCCCTCCTGTAAATATTTCATTTGCTCAAGAATACAATCTATCATAAAAAAATGTTTGTTTGTCTTTATTTTGCAAAATAAGCAGATAAAAAATTCAAAAATCTTCTGCCCCTCTGGTCACTCCCGAAAAGGGAGCAACCAGAGGGGCTGATGTATTCGTTAATCATTTTTTAAAGTCTTCCTTTATTTCAATTTTCAAACTTGATTTTTCCCTTCAAACTTGCTTTTTTCTAAAATATAATCCCATATCTGAATTCCCCGTGTCCAAAAACCCCTTAATCCCCCTTTTTAGTTATTTTCATGAATTTTGGCCATTTCGAGCTTTATGGCTCTTGTTGATCTTTTTCCATATGGGCCGGGCTTGGCTTCTGATCCGCTGCGCTCAGAGTGGCGCTGTTGTGGTGGTGAATCCGCTGGTCCTGGCCGTGGCTTTTTGAACTCAAGTGACGGCCAATCAGCGCGCCGCGCTGTGAACTTTTTCACGCCCAGGAAAATGCTCCGGAGGGGGCGGGCGAGTTTAGCCGCAAAAGATTAACGACGGCAGCTTTCAGAGGCGATTCGGCTTTTGGACAAGAATGGACACTTGATCTTGGAAATTAACCATACTACGTTTGCTTCAAGGTAGTACACGCGTTCTTGTTACATAATTAAAAGCTGGTCAACTTGTTTTCCGACAACTTGAAAAATGGCTCTCTTACCCGTCCTTATTTTTAGGCTGAGTGCTCAATAACTCATTCTTCTCTTCAACACTTTCGATTCAACTAGAGCTAGAATCAGAGGAAGTCATCGAACTCTTTGATCTGGCTCTAATGATCTGGCTCGTCATTTTTTGGTTCTCCGGGTCTGCGGTCAAGGCAGCCTCCACCTTGCCCAACTGCAGTTTGTAATTTGCTAGTTGCGAAATCGGATTGTCCATTTTCAATTTTTCTGAGAATTATTCAATAAATGGTTTTTGCGAAAGAAGACTTTTTTAATTGGAATTTTCAAAGCTTGACTAAGTTTTTGAATACAGAAAATCTACTTTTTGGAGACAGAAAAGAAGAATTTAGTTTTTGATTGGCTTTTTTGCAAAGTTGAGTAAGTGTTATACAGTGTTATTTATAAAATTAACTATTTAACAGTTTCTTTTCCGTGAAAGAATGAAATCAAGGAAGATTAATCCTCCAAATGAGAAATATTTAAAATCTTTGAATGTCGATATGCTAGCCCCTCCGGCCATTTCCCCGCGGGGATTTGGCTGGAGGGGCTTTACGTTTGGAGAGCCTAAGACCGAAATTGACCAAACGTAAAGCCCCTCCAGCCAAATCCCCGCGGGGAAATGGCCGGAAGGGCTGGCTTTTAAAATGAAAGAAAAGTTTTTAATCTTAGTCTGAGATTAATTTTGACCAAGATTCTGAGAAAGCTCTCTACAGAATTTCGATTATCGATTAAATTTTAATTTTCGATTAAATTTTAATTTTCTCATAAAAAAAAAACACGGAAAAACAAGTGCACGTATCACAGATTTATATTTTGGCACTGATTTTTGAATGAATTTGGAAAGAAAGCTGCAGAAAAAGCCGTCAAGGCCGCTGGAGAAGAATATGAAAAGCAAATGAGAGAATATGAAATTGCTGTGGAGAAGCAAAAGGAGGCAGAGAGGAATATTGATGAAGAAATTGCCAGACTCGAAGCTGCGAAAAGCAAGCCCAAGGTTTCAGGGAAGGTTCAAATGAAGAAAAGGAGCTCAAAAGATTTATTGTCATATTGTTGAACCAACAAGTAGCTCAAGTGACTCCAAAACCAGAAAGTGGAATTGAAAACACCTCGTTCGTGCGCGAGTCTCCCAGCCGAATGAGCAAGGCTTCCCTCCCTCAAACTCTCCGAGCATCGACTCATGCTTCCGCTCGTGCTTCCGGAAGATCCTCGGCAGTTCCCAAGCCTAGAAGCTCGCCGCCAGAAAAACAAGCGAAAATGGAAATTGATGAGAATTTGAATAGGCAATTTTGTTGAAAGAGAATTCTGCAATTCTTCCTGGTTTTCTTCCTTGTTTTCAACGAAAAATGAGTACCACAAACAATTCAAAGCACATCACAGTTTTCACTGAAGCGGATATTGAAATGATTTCTATTGCGGCTCAGAAATCCGAGGTTCAATAACAACAAGATTTGAGCGATTTGATTATTGGCTTGATTGGATCCAGATTTATCCTCCTTTCTCTAACTCCTTTCTTTCCTCCTTTGATTTCTAACTAACCTCTCCCTCCATTCTTTAAAATTATACAAGCATTTAAAACAAGTTCAGGTGACGACCTACCACGACGAAGGAACATCCCTCCTCCCCTCTGAGCACCGATCTCCGACCGCGATGACTCAAATGTCGCGCTCTGGCCACCAAACTCCCGACCAACAACTCAACGGTTGGCACGATACTGACATCTAAGCCAAAATCGACATGTCATTTCCTTAGAAAAATCCCTGTTTCCTTCACCAATGTTTGACCTAACTTTCCCTCTTTCTTTTTTTCCCCGAAAAATCAAAGCGTACTAAGCATTCTTTTCTTTACTGTTTTGACCGTACAAGCGTTTAATTAAAACATGTTGCACTCCGTAAAAGTTGTTGGTTCATCTATTTGTAAGAATTTCAAGATGACAGGTCAGCAAAAAAAGAAAGACCTCCCAAAGGTCATCGTTCTTTCATGCGCACATCATGAAACAAATACAATGCGATGGATACAATATCAAGATCAATCTCCGTAAACCGCAGAATAGTTCATTAAAGATTTTCTTTCTTCTGCTAAACTTCGTCAAAGCCATGAAGCACTTAAAAACGACGGCAAAAGTTCGGGTGCGGTCAGAACGAGAGTCGCTCGAGAAGAGATGAAGTTACTTTCTTCCTTCTTTTTGACTACGAGTGCGTTTCACTCGACAACTATTATCTCCACGTCTGCTACATCAACAACTTCATTCAGCCCAACAGAATCATCCCAGCCAGTCAGCTACTGCGAGTTTCCAAAGCTCAAGCAAGGCTGTGACCCGGACAATGGAGCAGCTTTCGGATCGTCAGTCAAATGCAAAAAGAAGTGCAACGGTTTTAAGGAAAGGAATTAACGTCTGATAATTTACAAGAAAATTTTTGTCGGACATGCTTAAATCCAATCTAAGCAAGCGACAAAGACAAAGACCAGGGTGATCAGTCGAAAATATGGTTCTGTTCTCTACTCAGTCGACTTCAAAGGGAAAACAAGGCTGCCAGCAGAGGAGGATTACGTCGGAATGGTTCGCTTCAAAATTTCCAACTGCGGCGAGTTCGTCACTGACCATCATCTCCACTTGCAAGATCTACATGTTTCATTTTCTGACCTCCAACTTGATGTCTACGAAAGTCAGTTCATCGGACATCAAACGCCGAAAAAGAAAGACATGGGACGAAAGAAAGTGTTTTTCTCCAGTTTTCTCGACGATATCAACAACGAGAACTGAAGAATGAGAATGGTGACTCTTTGCTGATGGAGGTGAATTTCAATGAAGATCAGCACGACTTTGAAGCAGTGGAAGAATGCGTGACAAAAGCTAATTATTATTTCATGACCAAGGTGAGAATCAAGCTCTTTCAAAACCAGCCAAGCCTTAATTCAATTTTTAGCAAATCGATGAAGAAACCAACAACGAAGACTACACCAAATGTATGCTCCATTCACTCTACAAAGAGCCGATCGATTGGGAGGAAACTTTCGAGTTTCCACCCCTATCCATGCCGAAGACGAAAACTTGTTCAAGCCCTGGAAGTTCTTCGAAAATCGCTGGTGGACAAGAAACGAAAAAGGGAAGATACCCCTGGTTTGCTTGGAGCGAGAAGACGGGCTTTGATGAGACCGAAAACTGCGGCTTGACAATTTTGACAAAATACGAGGACGGTTCTGACGATTGGCTTGTGACAGACTCGTGGTGCTGCTACTTTGATATGTCCCGATTCAACATCCATATTGGCGCTTATGACTTGGAATACCCCGACAACGATGAATACATAATCAATCCCATCGAGTATCGAAATGGAATTCTATCTGAAACCAGACAATGCATGGTCAGGGTTCCGAATCTGATTGACAACGCACCCGATTCTTGTGCTGGCGGATCGTGTTTTGAGCCAGCTTGCTTATCAGATGTGGAGTTGGAAGAGTAAGTTAAATCTTGGGTTGAATTTTTGTCTTAATAATTTTTAGTGGAACAAGCTGCTATATAGCTGGCCTTGGTGACTACATTGAGTTCGTGCCCGAGCAAGCGACGGTTCTCCGTGATGCGGTTCTAATCTATTTGGATGGAGAATTCAAATCAATCGACGAAAATGACCCAGCAAAGACTTGCCTTGGTGATACTGGCGGAGGGCTCATCTGCCTCGTCGATGACTATCCTGTTCTCAAAGGCGTGCTTGACTACAATTGGGGCCTTTGCGCTGAGGTTGACGATTTAATCAGTGTCAGTTTTGTTGACGCGAACGAAATGGAGAGCTTTGTTCTCACTCCACCTCCTGTGACAGAACCAACCGAAACGTCGACAACTGACTCTTCTCCGCTTCCCACTGGTCCTGGAATCTTCCCAAATGCGACTTTCGAGCAGCCATCTTGGAAAAACATGACTTGTGAAACTCCTCTTGAACCAATCGAGAGCGAGCCTCTTACAAAAATCGTCGGCGGAACAGATGTGCCGATCGATGCGCATCCTTATTACGCGAACTTTGATTTCTCCTGCGGAGGGACATTGATCACAATGTTTGAAGATGGCTCTCACGATTTTGTACTGACTGCTGCGCACTGTTGTTTCGGTACAAATATAGATGATGCCCTTGTGCTTTTAGGAGTCTCAGTCATCGACCGGGTTGAACCTTGCAGTTTGGACCTTGAATTGCAAAACTTCAAGATTCACGAAGATTACGATCGTTTTGATTTCAACAGTACTGACGAGACTGGAACTCCTCATGACATCTGTCTTCTGAAAATTCCCAATGTCAAGCAGTCGCTCATCAATCAGTACGGCCCTGAGGGCCCAGAAACATGCGCATCGAAGATATCCCCAGCATGTCTTCCAGCAGACCATGTTGCCGACGGATCTTACTGCAAGGTTGCAGGTTATGGGGCTGGTAACGAGCCATCGCATCTTTTGAATGAAGTCGGCGTTTACACATTTTCTAACGAGTACTGTGAGGCAACGAATATGATAAGTTTCGAGCCAACAACTTGGGAAACGCAGTTTTGCGCTGGAATCCCAGATTTTGATGGCGATGGACAAACTGACGGAGGGAAGGATTCCTGCCAGGGCGACTCTGGAGGACCCTTGGTCTGCGAAGCTTTTGGAAAACCCGTTGTTTACGGTGTTGTTTCTTGGGGTTTCGGCTGCGCTGCTCCGAACTTTCCAGGAATTTACGCTAAAGTCTCCAATTATGTTGACTGGATATTCGATACAATGGACAATCTTCAAAATTCTTGAGCTTTGGAATAGGAACACGATCTTCACGAAAACACGTTACACAAATTGTCACTTATTTAGGCGATACTTCTTTTGCTTTTCTCAATACACTTAGCATGCAAAAAACGGTTTGATTTTCTTGAAGTCTTATTTTGCTCATTTTATTGCATATTTTCTTTCAAGATACAATTTTTCTTTTATAAAAGAACACAAAAATGGCTTTGACCATCAGTTGTAGCTTCTGGGAGAATTTAAATTTTTAGAAACATTTTTAATTCGAAATAAAAATTTACCTTTATCGAAGGCTCCAGCATTACCAATAAGCTTCACCACCGGGCAATCAGCAGCAGAACCGTCTGAGTATTTCGACTCGAAGAACTCTTTCTGGGCAGAATCAAGGTTGTCGTAGGCCCCTCTCAGATCGTCCAAAATTGATCGGAATTTGGTCACTTGATCAGGGCGGAGCTTGTCGTAAAAATCATTAATTGCACTCATTTCTTTCTCACTGTATTGCTCTCCCTCAGAAGCCTTGATTATATGCGGATGGAAGCGGAAGTCAATTTTATTTTTGTCGCTTACTATTGCTTCCTATTTTCTTCAGCGATGATACGAAAGGGACAAGTTTCAAAATAAGAATGCAAAAAAAAATATAGAAAGCAACTTTTTAGGTATAAACAGGAAATTTATTGAAATAAAGCGGCAGCTGTTTTTTGTGGAAGATGAGTTTTTTCTTCATTTTTTTTCTTCGTTATTTTTTGTCGGCTGCTACCATCTTGTGGTCTTCTGTACAGACGTGCGTTCTGCCATGTTTGATTCATGTTCTTAGTGGCGCGATATTTACACAAGAAAAACTTATATCAAAAAGTAAAAGTAGTTTTTTGGGGGATTGGGAAATTCAGGGTTGTTGGTTTTCTTTTTTTTAAATAGTACTCGCGTGTTTTATTTTGTGATGATCGTGGATGGTCGAAATTTTGTCGACCGCGACGATGAGTTAAAAATTAAAACAACAAATTTACAAAAAAAAAGACAAAAAAAAAATGTGGCATAAAAGATAAAAAAAAATCGGCGAGATTTTGTTTGAAAATTGAAGAAGTCTTTTTTGAAAGCGCAAAATATAAAACTACGGAAAAGGAGACGCGAAACAGGACTTCAAGGAAAACAAGTCAAGGGGTCAATTTTGTACTGCGACTGATTTTCACCTCTTACGCCCTGGTTGTGGTCCATTTCCGGATACTGCTCGGTGGAAGGGTTTTAATTTCGGCTTCGGTCGTTTCCGAAGATCTTGGGCTGTCCTCGTTGACCTTGGTAACCGTATTCCTGCACGACGAGACCTGAAAGATGGTTGATAAAATGGCGCAAAAAGAGGATTAAGGGTGTAGGCATCGATAAATCACTGCGTTGAAAACGTACCATCAAGAGAAAGACAATCGTTGTAGTCCTGAATGCTGCCTCTGTTCATGATCTTGAAGCTTTCGCAACCCTTAAAAATTTTAGTAATTTTGAAAAGGCATTTTTTGAAAAGTACGTTGATGGCGCAGCAGAATTTCTTGTCCATATCAAACGAAACTCGTCGGCAGCAGCATCGCTTCTGCGAATTGTAAGCCTGTCCGTTGCAGCAGCCGATCTTGACGTTTTTCATCTCGAAAAACTTCTTTCGGAGGCGGATGAGGCGGATCTAGATAAGTTGATGAGGAAGGAGTTAGTTTTGCATAAACATCAAAATTTTAATTTTTATTTAGTACTTATTTAGCTCAAATTTTTTACCTCCTCTCGGCTCAAGCTTTCTTCTTCGTAGTTGGCGGGAACGAGTTGTTCTTCTGGGATTTCTCCGACGAGTTGGACCATTGTGGCTTCATCTAGAAAGAAAAATGAAGAAATGAAACACCAGAATAATAATGCAACTTGTGTCTTTATGAATTTATCGATTGTTAGATTCATGGAATTTAAATAAGACCCATACCAGCTGTTATCCAATCCAGCAGAACGTATGTTCCTTATAAGAAAATCATAAAATTAATTATTACCTTCTTCTGGCTCTTCAAATTCCGTCGAAACAACACCCCCACTGACTGGATCAACAGAAGACAGATTGAATTCCGAGATTGGATTTCGTCGTGGAGTAACTTCTTGCTCTTCCTCTTCCTCGACTTCTTCAGAAAAGATTCCCATGTGAGCATCTGGGAAGGGAGCGTCGGGCCCATTGTATCGCGGGTAGATGATTTCCTGGAGCGGCTCGACATCCAAACCGACGTCCATTTGCATGCCGGGAGCGGGCTCTTCTTCTTGGTGAGAGTTTCCGCCCTTGTGCTTTTTGTGGATTTTGTCGGCGTCCATGCATGTCAGGTGACCGTTGTCAGATCGGGTCACCTTTCTGAATCGCTCCAAAGAATCGGGCTTGGGCTCTTTTCCCTGTCGTCGGAACTTGATTCCGTTCAAGACTGAAAATAAAAAGTTAGTTTCAATATAAAAAATTGAGGAAAAAAATGATTATGAAGCGGGGTTGTATGGCACTAGCGCGTATTAAATTCCAAATGCGATAAAGCGATCAAAAGGATTTTGCCCGATGCGTTGGCACACGTGACTCTTGGCTCAAGAGTAGTGCCATCCCAGATGCGTGTATCTCTCTCTATTCCAGTCCTGAGACTCGCCCCAAAACAACCGCGAGCTGAATTTACGAGGGTATTGGACAGAGGGTTGAAAATTGACAATTTCTTTCTTTTTTCTTTCAAGTGGCAATTTTCGCAGCCACGTCAATCAAGAATTCAACACAGAAAAATCGCGACGAATGTCTCGTTTTTTGGTTCTTTGAAATCGAGTCTCGCGCAGCCGAGGAATGCCAATTTTTTGGCAGCTGACGTAAAATCAGACGAAGGAAGAGAGTTAATCGCGCCACAGACATCGTTAGAGTGTGGATAAGTGACCACACGTGACCTGGCTCACTGGAGCCATCTGCTCCGCTGCGAATCGTGAAAAAAGACATTTTTTCATTTTCGCGGTCTCGTGGTTTCGGAGGAGCACATTATCACCTTCGCCAGGCGAAATTCCGCAAGGAGCAGGGGCCAATTTTAGACAACGAGAGGCTGACACCCCCTCGGAACGAAGACCCGTCTTTTTCGGGTTAAAGGATCACCCCGCAAAATCAAGATTGTAGAAATCAAGTCATTTTATGAATTCAGTTGAAAAAAAGTTCATTTTTAAGACATTGACTTTAGAGAGCTTCAATTGAAAGCCGTGCAGCGGCTTTTCCAAAAACGAAGCCGCTTCGAAATCTCAAAGAGATGACGAAAAAAATTATGGCGAAGCCGCTCTGCGGCTTCGTTTTAAAAAAAGCCGCTACGCGGCTTTCAGGAAAAGCTCTTTCAAGACCCTGACGTTATTTTTTAGACCGATTCATTTCCCGCATCATGGAAAATCCTTTAAATATTTTGCTGGACAACTAATTGAAAATTGAATTGTCGCAATTGGAAATTCTAGCTAATAACAGAGGCCCCGGAAATGTCCCCATGTTCGTCTCTACACGCTCCTTTCGCCCTACTCCGAAACCGCTCGACTGGCCGGTCGAAATTGATTTGTTGAACGCGGAGGAAGAGTAAGAACTAGCCTCAGCGACAAATGTCGCAACGAGAGAACATTAGAGGTCAGTCTTGTCGGGCCAAGAGCCGAACAAGCATGTGATTTAAGGGCGAAGAAACGAGCTTCATAACGAGCACGGAGCGATCTTAAACGCTCTATCATTATTTGCACTACTAGGGTTCAACGAAAACAATTTACCAAGCGAAATTTTTTCAAGCTTTTTTCAATTTTTGGGTCAAAAAATGACAGAATTTCTCAAATAAGAAGCTTTTTTTCAATTTAAATCATTATTCGTAGTTTTAATTGGAAAATTTGTCATTTTTTGAGCCAAAAATAGACGTTTTAAACCGTGTAAATGGTCATTTCCAACTTTGTAAGTTGTTTGCTGAGTAAACTCTTGTTTTGAAACATGTTTCTTAGAAGTTCCTATCGCTGAAAAAAAGGACTTTTCCACGAGGCATCTATAGAATCGCTGTTGGCACAACAAACCCTTCGCGCTCAACCCCACGATGAGTACTACCGAGAAGAGGGCCACTTGCCAGATTATCCCAAACGGAGCTAGGCACCGTTGTCCGCGGCTTTTCAAATACTTCACGATAAATTTCAGTTCTACTTCGACAAAAAATTCATCCTTAAAAATTTTTTCCAACGAAAAATCCTTCGAAAAATTGAGCATCAACCCTAACCCTAACCCCGGCAAAAAATCATCAAAGATACCCCTTTTTCCATCAAGAAACTACCTTCCTCGCCGAAAAACGGCGCCCTACCCTTAATAACAACGGGATGAAGGGCTGGGCCGACGTTGCCCCTAAAAGGCTTATGCTTAACTCGTAAAAATCGACAGGTAAAACGGCCGTCGATTTTACGCTGTGGCGCTTTTGCGGTGATGAACTTGATAAAATCCTCTTTCTTGAGGATTTTCGCTGACCAGGGCCAGCTCATTTTCACTTATACTTTTACGAGATCGTATTTCGCCCTATTTGGGAATGGCGGCAGCTGTATTTTGGGAGACACTTGTATTTTCACTTGTTGAGCCTTTTTCCGGAGCGTTAGAAGCGTGCTCGTATTTTCACAGGCGTCGCCAAAATGAGCAGCTTCTTGACTCGACTTGAAAAAACATTTTTTTTGAAATGAGCAGTCGCCGCTCATTCGAGATAAAAATTGATAAAAGACGAAAAAAGTAATAGAAAGAAAAACTATTTTTTCAATCGACATTTGGCTTTTAGAAAATTGAACTATCCTTTTTTTTGAAAATGTTTTTCTTTCTAAAAATCCAGCTAAGGAATAAGGGAGCGCAACCAATACCGAAGTGCGGTAAGGGTGTGGCGCAAAGGAAAGAGCGTTCATGCCGGAAAATGACCTAACGTTGGTTAAAGCGAAAACAATCAGTTAGAAGAAACGATGACTGGATGGAAGATCAAGCAAATGTGCAAATAGCTGCTGGTTCTGCTGCTGACTTCTGACAGAAGCCCCCAAAAGAGCTGAGCCAATTTGCCACCCGCGGGAGCAAGATGGAGCGGAGATCAATCAGTTAATAGGCTTTTTTTGACGACTTTTTCAAGAAAAAAAAGCTTTTTACTGAAATGCCTCTGACCCATTTTTAGCCACTTTCAAAGTCTTTCTTTAATTTTTCTTACACAAATGTTAAATTTAATTAATGTTCGTTCGGACTTATTTTCAGAGGATTTCAGTTTAATGATTTTACGTAAAACAGAATCTAAATTCCTCCCGCCTTTTTTGATGGCAAAACAAACTCGCAATGTTGGACCGTATTCCAAAAGGAAGGGGAAACGTGAACAACCGTAAAGTTGAATATATTATTTCAAGCAAGGAAGGCGGTCTCACAGGCGGACACTCCTGATAACCTCGCTTATCACGTCGAAATTCAAAGACGTCGCGGTCCAGCCCAGCGCGATGCTCTGACCGCAACCAACAACGAAAAAACGGCCGCTTTATCGGCCGGATTAAAGCGACCCAAAGCGTCCAACTCAACTTCCCAAAACTTCAACGATTTCAATCAGCGGTCAATTAAAACGTTCCCAAAATCTAGGAAAAGACCACAGTCACAACTGAGTAAAAACTTGTTAAAAAACTTGAAAAATGGTTAAAAATTTACAAAAAAAAAAAATTCGGTTTTGGTAAAATGACTCATTTGAGTACAAATTCCAAGTCGTGAGATTTCAAGAAGTAATCTCACTTGTGGTAACGATCAGAACGGCGTAATATCCCTGCGCTTTTTCTCGTTCATTTCTGGTTGTAATAAGAATGAGGGTGTAACTGCTACACCCTTGACAACGTTAAACTGTTCTAAAAGCAGCTCTCTTTTTTCAACGAGGAATTTTCGCGTTCTTGTTTGGATGAGACGCATTCCTCCCGAGTCTCAGACAGTGTTTGAAAAAACCCGCCCGCAAACCCCGCGGGGGCCGCGGGCGGGGGCCACGGGCGCCCGCGCCCCCCGTACCCGCAAGAAATCTCGGATTTCGCCCCCGCGCCCGCCCGCGCCCGTAGAAAATTTTTGATCTGGCCCCCGCGCCCTCCCGCGCCCGTGGAAATTTTTTTCGCGCCCGCGGGCGCCCGGGGCTCACCATAAATTGGTTAAAGCTAGTAAAGAATATTGGGTTTTCATCTAAAAAACTTTGCGTAAAATGAATGAGCCCCGTTCCTTGATTTATAAATAAAGAGCCAGTTTTTTAAATAAAGGCCGTTTTGGCAATCTTTGACTGGAAATTCAGCCGATTTGGATTATGAATCCAGACGAACATTATTCTCAATAGAACTTCTTCAAAACAGAGAAATCTACCTTTCTCATTGCATTCTACCATCGACGATTTTTAGCGGCGGCTAGATTCTCCGTTCCGTTTCTCTAGATTTGCCTTAGCGGAACGCTCATTTGCTCGTTGAAAGGAAACCCGCTCTACGAGCAAATGAGCGTGCTGCTAACGCAAATCTAGAGAAACGGATCGGAGAATCTAGCCGCCGCTAAAAAGTCCACGATGGTAAGCTATCGATAGACCCCTTATTTGTAATTTTCGGGCCGTCTCAGCCCCGTTCCTTGATTTTTGATTTAAGGGGCTTGACGGCCCTTCGGGCCGTCTCAGCCCCGTTCCTTGATTTTTGATTTAAGGGGCTTGACGGCCATTCGGGCCGTCTCAGCCCCGTTCCTTGATTTTTGATTTAAGGGGCTTGACGGCCATTCGGGCCGTCTCAGCCCCGTTCCTTGATTTTGATTTAAGGGCTTGACGGCCCTTCGGGCCGTCTCAGCCCCGTTCCTTGATTTTTGATTTAAGGGGCTTGACGGCCATTCGGGCCGTCTCAGCCCCGTTCCTTGATTTTTGATTTAAGGGGCTTGACGGCCATTCGGGCCGTCTCAGCCCCGTTCCTTGATTTTTGATTTAAGGGCTTGACGGCCCTTCGGGCCGTCTCAGCCCCGTTCCTTGATTTTTTGATTTAAGGGGCTTGACGGCCATTCGGGCCGTCTCAGCCCCGTTCCTTGATTTTTTGATTTAAGGGGCTTGACGGCCATTCGGGCCGTCTCAGCCCCGTTCCTTGATTTTTTGATTTAAGGGGCTTGACGGCCATTCGGGCCGTCTCAGCCCCGTTCCTTGATTTTTTGATTTAAGGGGCTTGACATAGGCTTGGAACATTGAGTTGATCAATCTCAGTTTTGTCTCCAACCCCACCCACACCCATTGTTTTAAAAAGTCAAATTATCTTAGTTTTTAGCTCAATTATGGTTTTTTTTTGAGAGTTGTTCGTCTTAAATTTGCAGATTAATATCCCTCGAACCCGGGGGGCCTACGGGCGTTTGGGTATCGGGCGCCCCCTGCCCCCGGGCGCCCGCGGGCGCGATTTTTTGCGGGGCCCCCGCCCGCGCCCGCCCGCACCCGCGCAAAATTCTGAAATCGGCCCCCGCGCCCGCCCGCAACCGCGCAAAATTTTGGAATCGGCCCCCGCGCCCGCCCGCGCCCGCGGAAAATTTTGAAATCCGCCCCCGCGACCGCCCGCGCCCGCGGAAAATGTTGCGGGTTTTCAAACACTGGTCTCAGATAGGAGACATCCAGATCAAAGCAGAAGAAAAAGAGAGCCATTCTAAACTTCCGGTATATAAAGCGAAAGAGCCAAGGAAAAAGGAGCGTTCGTTTTATGGAATGCCAGTGTTTCCGAGCTCTTGAATTCAAGAGAGCATTTTCCAGATTCCGACTGCAGCTCATCAAATGCAGCTCAAATCAATGAACTACTCTGGCCAAAATTATCAAATCGAAATCGAAATTGCTAATTCAAATTCTTCATTCTTTTTTAGAACATGAAAGTTCAAGTCTTTTCTTTCGTTTTGTAACTATATGACTGCTCTTTCGATTCGTGAAGCAATTCGTGTCAATGTGTCGAATTTATTACGCGATCGAGACGATAGCGCTTTCTAAGTTGAACAAAATTCTTCTTGACATGATCGTGTTTGGTATCCTCCTTCTTTTTCTTTGAAGAGTTGAGAAAACTTTCTTCGAGGAAAAAGAAGCACCGAAGATGGATGAAGGAATCGGTAGTTGATATAAAAAAGACGATCGTTCTGCTGGAATTCTAGAGCAAAAGGGCAAACCTCCTTGTCAAGTTTTTAACTCGATCGATCAATGCCCTAAATTCTCCCGTGACAAGAGCCAGGTTGAATGAACCCGCCCTGGAACGTGTCGAATTAATCTAATGCGCCAATTGGAAGTTCCCTCGAGTTGGAAAGAAATGAATTAGGGACTCGAAGATTCTTTTCTAAAGATGATTCCGAATTCCAGCAATTTTCAACTGAAGAAACCGCGGATTCGAGAAAAGAGGTCGATTGTGTAAATTTGGTGGGCGCAGCTGCTCCTCGCTGGTCCCGTTTAACCGGCTCTTTATTCAACCAAGGCACCTTGTTTCGATTTTAGAAAACAGCAGGACAGAAAAAGAAGCAGGGCATTTTCTCACGTGACCGGAGCTGCTCTGAGAGACTCTGGGCAGCAATAATTAGCCTCTCCCTAATGTTTCCGTTTTTCTGACCTCACAGGGCCAAACTCTTTAGTCGTCTTTTGGGAAATACGATTTTGAGAAACGAAAAGTTCCAACGTTCATTTTCCCGAAAATAAATCACGTGGGATTAGACAGAGCGTACGCACGTTTAGGTTTGTTTAAGACCGGTCCAAAAGGACGAAAAAGGGATGATCCTTGGATTTTTGCTTTTGAAGGAATAAACTGCGCTGAATTTTAATTTTAAAATGACTTCTCTGAATTCGAACGACTAAAAAAACGAAAAAAAAATTTTTTGAAAAACCATAATTTTTGAAAAAAATCATCGTAAAAATATTTTTGATTCAGATATTATTCGACGAGAAATCACAAATATAACTCTGACCTGCCATTTTGGGACCGTCATACTAAGAAAATCAAGACGAATAAATACTTACAGACAATAGGAAGATCTTCAATTGGAACGTATTCATCATCTGGAGCCTGGTATCTGACGTATTCCTTGTGCGCTTCTCGAGCTTCGAAAAGCTCTCTGTTGGCCTCATCAGCCCAGGTCAATTCGGAAACGTCTTGGGGAAGAGTGTGTGAGTTGTAGTTCGCGGCGGCGAGGGCGATGATCGAAGCAATGAGTTTCATTTTTGGTCTTTTTTAGTTCAGAAAAATGAGGAATTGTTTGAGAGAGAAAAACGTGGGGCGGAACTGAGGATTGTTATTTTAGAGGGGTGTTGATTTTTCTTGGTGAGAGTCGAAGGCGAAATTGATTCGAGTTGGCATTTACCGCGAGCGCGTGGCCATCAATTGGTGGAAAATAGAGTTATCCAAAGCCAATCTTTCCGTTATGTATCCATCATGGAAACAGCTAGGGTTACAACTGTGTTTCCATGGTGGCTTTTACGCTTCTTATTGTCATTTTTGTATGCTCTCGTTATAACTAAAAGTCTGCATATGGAGGGGTTTCATAATGCAATTGAGCCTTATTTTATTAAATCAGGATTAAAGTTAACTGTAACATTAAACAGAACGAAAATTTGGCATCTTTGTAGTGTTCAAATTTTTGCTCTAGAGATTCTTTAGTTCATTTTTAAAGGTCAATCTCGAAGTTGTTTTTCTGACTTGACGCGTTAAACCTTATGATGACTGGTAGTTCGCAGCGAGTAGCAACGGAAAAACGGTAAATACTGGCTCGGAACTAAGTAAATTGCGGCCTCGAATGGAACGTCAATCGGCTCCACTGGCCGCGTTAATCTGGCCAACGAGCGGTGCACCGCCGAGCCCAGTCATGGGATTCTGAGACGCTCTCGCCAGATTTGCAATACTCAAAATCTCCGAATCATCCCGACTTCGGGTGCCTTATTAAATTAATCTCGAGAAGATCGGACACGAATTCGAAATTGACTGAAATTCCGTTCTATTTTTAATTTTAAATGTTTGGTTCAATGAAAATTAAAATCGTTCTCGAGCATTTTCGATTCAAACTTAAGGGAGTCCTAACGATAAATTTTCTAAAGAAATATTGCTTAGAGATTTCTCAATTTACTCCTCAAATCAAGGCATTTTAAAATAAGGGTGTCACTGTGTTATTTTTGAAAATGGGTTTAACGCCTTCTACCCCCTTAAAAAGAGCTGCGGAAATTTCTAAAGTTCATTTGAACACGTCTCATCGTCAGAAAAACACCCGGAAACATTTCGATATTATCTTTGAAATGATACAACGATAGGCGGTCGATAAGAAAACTCCACGATACTAAAGATCACGATTTTTTGCTAATTGAGAATCGAAAAGAGACACGAACATGGATCCGCAAGAACAAGAAACAGTTGTTTTACGCGTGAACTCGGACTCGTGTAAAACGTGTCCTGTGAAGTAGAATAGAAAGAGCGGTGGGTTATCATTAATAATTGTTGTTTTGGCGAAGCGAAATGGATTAAATTGGCATTAAATGCATGGACACTCGTGGATCGAGAACATGCACAAGTCTTGTTTAATAACATTGGAAATAACAATATGGTACCTATCAACAATCGAAGATTAAGTTTCTGTCTAAAAATGGTGCTACCAAAGTGAAGTAATTGGCCATCTAACCTTTGTAGAAAAAGTGCTCCCTTGGCAAAAGGGTCAATATTGAGATAAGGGCGAAATAGAAGCCTTTCTCTTTCGAAAAATCTTTGAAAAGAATTTTTCCTCGAAACGGATAACACGTGATTGCTAGGCTAAGAAGAGAGCTGCTGCCGGGCGTTATCGCATAAACTGAGCGTTCGTTTGTTAACAGCGGCTGCCGAGGAACTTGTGCGCTTATCGCACTTGGACCAGAAAACACCTTTTCTTTGTTGGAAAAGGCGACAAATGCAAATTGCTTATATTGGGTTAACTCGGCCAGACAGCAACTCAGTTTTCTTTTTGCATCACAACTAAGGAGCACCTGTTCCACTTACGGGACTTCCGCGTAAAATCATTTCAGATTCTAGATAAAAATAAGGGGACACCACAAATCTAACAAAGATGAAACAAATAAGTATTTTTCTAGTCATTTTAAAAAATGAAATAACTATAAAAGTACAAAAATTTGAGATATCTGAGCTAGATCTTAGAATAATCAATACATTATCATTGATTATCAAGTTTATTTAAATCTAAGTCACGTGAAAAACGACCAAGAAATTCAAGTCAGAAAAAGCACTCTGGTCAACCTCAGGTCGGGCCCTCTGTCAAACCTTGTGGCCAAACAACCTCCACCATCCAGTCAAATATACATTCTATGCCCTTAATCTTAAGGAGGCGGCTTCTCGATCATGACCGCGGATCTGACGTAGAGCTCCGACCGTGCAACGTTGTACAAAATCACAATTTAACGCGCGTTTAATTGCTTGGAAAATTAACGAATCCAATTTTTAAAGGCGGGTTTCAATTAAAGCGAGCTTTTCAGGCTCCTTTTAATTGATATTAAATGATAATTAGAAGGAAACTAAGACTATCAAAGTCATTTGAAAACAAGGAAGAGTAAGCAAACACGGTAAAAAGTGGGTTAAAAGTGAGTAGGATAATAGTTAATTCCGCAAAATTGAAATTTAAGAAACAAAAAGACGCGCACAGGGGTTTTAAAATAGTCTTTGGTTCCCTATTTTAACCCGCTGACGTAAATGAGCCACAAAAACACATTCTCCTCTCTTTCAAAAATAATATTTCTGGACTAAACCAATTTTTGGAAGTGCATTTTTGGATAACCAATAAGATTGCTGCATTTGGCCTACCGGCCAATGAAAACCCTATCCATAAAAATCAGTTCCAACAATTGGTTCTACCCGTTTTTCTGAACTGTGCCTGATGAAAAGGTCGTTTTTTTTCAAATAAAATTCGAAGAAAAACGCTGCTTTTTTTCTCTGATTTCCGAAAAGAAGTTTTCAGAAAAGAAGTTTTCTTTTTCTTTCTTTTTTTTCGGTGGAGGAAGGGAGTATTTCTCTTGTGTAAAAAGTAAACGGTTCTTTTCTTTCTTTTATGCTTTTTATAAAAGTAAAAAGGACTCTTCTATTTTCTATTTCTTGGTGCTATTTTCCTGAAGCTATCGGCTTGACCAAGATCGGCTGGTACGTTTGCGGAGGGCGCGCGCGGGAACGGCTAGGTGGCGCTCGCACTCCACGAACCTTCACGAGAGGTTACGCATAGCACGCGAACGCGTAGAAGAAAAAACGCTCCTCGCGCCACCGCGTGGCCAGCTTTTGGCAGCACTTCCAGGGATGACTCTTTTGAGTGAATGACTCTGACGAAATTGCCAAGCATTGACTCAGGTGTTCCTTCGCTCTCAGCGCTTTCAGGGCCAACTGATTTTCAGATGATCAGCTGAAGAATCAGCGGTTTGTTTTAAAAACCATCTTCTCATAATGACTTCTGATAACATTTTCGCGAATTTAAAAAGTGGGATTGAATAGAAACAACGCCTGAATTATTAAATTTCGACTTTAAAAAGCTACTTTCGACTTTCAAATAAGAAAAATTTATATTCAAATGAAAAGATTAGAAAGTAAGGTCTGGCTTTAGAAAGCTGCTTGCGGCTTTCAGATCAAAAATGATACTTCTTGAGCCGCATATTTGAGAAAGCCGCAAGCGGCTTTTTTACTTTTGTTCCGAGATTGACCGTTTTTTGGCAATAAAAGCGGTAATTTGAACAGGTAACCAAGAAATCTTCAAATATTTGGGTTTATTTTGTAATCTTGCGAAAGATGATGCTTGTGAGCTCGGCTTGCTGGCATCGGATTTTGACATAAGCAGAGTTGAATAGACAAGGAACTTCCGTGTGGAACGCAGACTGAGGGGAAAATCCGCCGCGCGTATAACAGTACTCAACGGAGATACGAGGAGCATTGACAGCGGGTTTTTTCTAAAGAAAATGACTTTTTTGTCGCTCCCTTTGGATTTAGCATATTCAAAGTGGTGAAAAAACAGAGGGAAAAGAAAGATATGTATTTTGGCAACAGAAGGTATTTGCATGCATTTTAGTGGCGCGACCCAGCAAGGCCGAATTCCTGCGGAAATATCTCGTTCTACAGCAGTTTGAAAAACATTAAAATACCGCGAGTTTGATGGCGACGCTTGCAAGGTTGAACCCAGAATGGCTTCTTGGGAGCATAGTTTGTCAGTTCTTTGCGGCTGAGAAATAGTCGTTTTCAAGAAGAGCTGGCGAAAGAGGTAGCTGCTCATCCGCACTGGAATTTCTTTCAGTGACATCTGGTTACGCTTTAGAACACGTAGCGGCTTGAAGTGACTCAGAGGAGCAAAAATATTTGGAGTAACATTAAAACGGATGAAGTAAATTTGATTTGAAAAATTTTGGATCGAGAAATTTCAAATTTGGAAAAATAAATTAAATCAAAACACGCTTTTCTGCGGAAAAACGCGCCGAAAATTTATCCAAAAATGACATCTTTCCCTAAAAAAAGGGATTAAGGGAGTATCGTCATGATAATGAACTGCGAAAAATATCCGTAACGAGGCTCCTTAACGCCTTTAAGTCGACCACAAACGTCGTTAAATATGATCGGCCCTAATTTCTCGTTGGTTGAACTGAAGTTTACGTCCTGGACCTTCTAGTTCTGTTTCGTTTCTTTTCAATTCTAGCTAAGGGCGCCAGTCCTTTTCTCCGCGAAAAACGATGACAACAAACAAAGTACTTCCCATCGAACACATAATTTTGTGGCAAGCCATAAATGTCCCCTCAAGTGGCACTTGTCCCCGGATGGGCCCCAAACAACACCTCAGCCTTCTGATCTCAGTCAACTTGAAACACGTGGGCCCGCGAGTGTGTTTGGGATGGCGTCATGCACCGACCGAAATTGGCTTGTTAGACTTGAGCACGAACTCAATTTAGTGGTTCATGTTTATATGCGAATCATTGCCTTCATATTTTTAGAGTAGAAAATATTTATTCTCAGTTCAGCCGTGAAACAATCTTAGAATATTGTGTTCGAAAAATAATTTGTTGCAAAGTGGGCATCGGTTTGAATCTGCGAGAACCTTCCTAAGACATTTTTCACCAAAAATATGTCCACAGACAGTCAAACAGCTTTTTCTATGAGAGTCATCATCATACTCCTCCAAACATATCCCGCAGCGTGGTTCTTTTGCGACTTCTGGCTTCTCGTAGTTTTCGGAAAGCTTGTCCATTTTCGCTTTGAAGTTTTCTTCCTCTTGTTTTATCTCTCTTCTCATGTCGGCGATCGAAGATTCATTTTCAGTTATTTTCTCTTCGAGATTTTGAACTTGCGTAAAAAGGGCTTCACGCTAAAAACTCGAAATAAAATACTTATAAATTTAAAATATCTCACTTCTAGAGATAATTTGCTTTTCCGGTTTTTCAGAGACCAGTATCTATCTGATAGAAGCTGGATTTCTTTTTCAGAATCAACTATCTGTTGAGACAATTCCAACCCATGAAGCTGAAGTTCTTCAATTTGATTTCTGAAAACCTGTATATTTTGTGTAGAGTCCCCAATGCTTCTTTCAAGTGCAGTTACTCGTGAATCAGACTCTTTATGAAGCTTGTCCAAGTTTCTATTGAAACTGGCCTTAGCGTTTAGGTAAGATTTTGATCTGATAGTCTCTCTAAAATCTGACATACTCAAATTATTTTTCTGAACGTCGGCTGAGAACAAATTCAGAACATTTATTCAGTAAGTACTGAATAAACATCGTTTCCAATGCTCTCAAAAAGCAAATAATTACTTGTGCTTTCTCAGCAGAAAAAATGTTTATCGATGCGTATCATTTCAGAAAAAATGATTCTTACTCCTTATTTCTTCGTCGTCTTCGTTAATGAGAGTTTGTCTTTTTGAGCACGTGTAAAAGCATGTCTTTTACGAAGTGTCTTATTCTTGAGTCTCACTAGCGGCGATTATGGGGTCGCTTTAGTAATCCTGCGAAGCTTGCGTCACCAAGTCCGCATTAGAGAGAGCGAACAATCCTGATTATGCGATCGCTTCTCAAACTGGTGTATAATACCGAACCTCTGCCCTCTCTTTTTTTGCGAAGATGCATCAACACGTTCTAATCTCCATTTGAACTTCGTTGGGCCTTGAATTTTGAAAGTAACAGATCGAACTTGATTCTTATCGCCTTAGTATCTCTTCTTCAGGCCTTGATGACCTGAGAATAAAACCTGAGTCAGGGTCTGAAAGAGCTAGAATGAAAAGCTCAGGTTTTATGCTCAAATTGCCGAGCCCAGCTCTTCCTGTTCGAAGCAGCTTTTTCTTTCATGAACGAGTCTCATTCGAAATAGAAGCGTTCTTCAAGATGCTATCACCGAAAGAAAATACAGAAGAGAGATCTCCTTGTTACGTGCACCGGATGGCTGCGCGGATGTATCAACTTGGCCGGCACTCATTGTTGCCGAACGAAGCTGCCAATTTTTCCTCTTTGAAAATTTTCCACAAGCCAAGGACCGCGCAATTAGAAAGTCCTCCAGACTTTGGCTTTTGCATTCGTCTAACCACGTTTATGTCTTCCCATTTTCTGCTCGCCATTTTTTTCCCAAAGTTGAAACCAGCGCGCAAGTTTGAAGGCACAAGTTGTTATCTACTAAAACGATTATGATTAGAATATTCAAGTGGCCACTTAAGGGTACTATCTTCGATTTCCCCAACTTGAGCTTTGAATAACTCGGAACTTGTGAATGATTGCTGAGTTTATATGGGCTCTTTGATTAGATCTGTCCTAGATCTTAACTATTACAGAGGGGTTTATCAATTGCTTAACCGAAAAGCGGCTAAATTTTTGCTTGAAGTGGTCATCTCCGCCAAAATGGCCTATATAAACGGCTGAATAACTCAAAAACAAGTCTGATAACTTGGCCTTATTTTATTTTTTAAATAAAGTTTGAACATTAATCTTTAAAATTACAGAAGGATATTTTCATTGAAAAACTAAAAATACCAAAAATAATTTTTTGAAAATTGTGTCTCGCCGATTTTACGAAAATTGAGCATTTTTTAAAAGTTAGCGACACATTTTTGGCTCTAAAATCAAAAATATCTTGATGTCGCGATGGATACAGCTACCAACATACTGCTCTTGCTCTGAGCTTTCGAACAAGCACTTGATCGAGAAAATCGAAGTTCAAAATTTTTTTTCGAAAAAACTTCTAGAGGCCATATCTCAAGATATATTGATAATTTTGAATAGTTGTCAATTAGGTATAATCATAGAATTTAATGAAGAATCCATTTCTAATAACCGATTCTTATTCATCTTTTGAAAAGACACCTTCTGGAAATCGAAGATAGTACCCTTAAAGCATCGCGTGCATTTATGGACAATTGCCGCAGTTATCAAAAAATGATTAAGGAGGTAGCCATTGCTAATTGAATTGTTGACTGGGCTTTTTCTCGTGAAAAATGATATTGACCCATATTGTTAAATTATCATTTATAATTAATGAAGCATTTTCTGTCTGAAATTTCAAAATTTCTCTGAAATTACTGAAAACCTAACCCAATCGTTTACCCTAACCCTAGCACTAATCAAAGGCCTCAGTAATTGTGTATTAATTTTATAGTACGACGATGTTGATGCCCTAAATTTTTGTTTTCTAAGGAAGAATATTTTTTTCGTAAAACAGTCTTACGGTGGATAATAAATTTCTTCCCTCACTAAATCCGCCGCGGACCCTCGAAGATTTGCCATGATCCAATTTAAGCTCGGATGACATGATTTTTCTTCCCGGTCTTAGTTTTTAGAAGGATGATGAATTCAACATAGAAATTCTTTTACAATAATCATCCCTAATTTTCTATCCAAAAATGACTGGAGCATGAGCAGTTAAACTCTAGAAAGGATGAATCATCAATTTTTCTTGAGTTTTTTTTCCCAAATTCGCTTTTTCAAAAAGGGAAAAGAGAGAAAAATATGTGAAGAAGAAGCATTTTTCAACCCTCCGCGGCTTGGAAAATGCTACATGAATTTCATTCGATTGCAAACAAAAAATGCCGTGCTCAGAGGACAAGTGGACAAGACCAAATTTGCAGAAGAGACCCGCAACAAGTGGCTGAAAATGTCAACCGAAGGCTTCGAGTTCGATTGATAAGAAAAAATTTAAGCAAAATACGTGGTCTCGGCGGGGGCTCTTTGAACTGATGATGATTCTGAAATGATAGCAGTTCGGAATGTTGGTACAAAAATCTTGTAAGTTACAGGGTTGGTATTTTTGCGCTATTTGTCGCATCAGAAATGAACTCAGAGGGGAGAAAAGGAGTTTTACGAAAACATTCACGAGCCGATTAAAAACGAGTCTAGCGAGTCAGAATCCAGTGAAGAAGAGCAGGTGAACTCAATCTTCTCAATTGTTACGTACTCGCAAAACACGCTGCCTCCGGAGCAGGCTAGAATTACGCTTGACAAGGATTATCGTGGATTCAAGACTTGTTTACTTCTCAGAAAGCGATTAAGGGGATCGAATACGGGATAAAAACGTGTACAGTAGAAATTCGATATAAGACGATTCTTTCACAATTTTTTTGCTAAACAAAATACAAGAATTTACCCAAAGAGAAAGCAGCTCATTATCAACCCCAACAATTCTTTTTCCCCCATTATAGGCGAGTTACAAGAAGAGATGCAGAAACTAACAGACGACAGGAGAAGGAGTGGTACCAAAGTAAAAGTCCAAGAATGTCAGAAGCCGGAGCGCGGCCTGTAACCGGCATGTCCGGATTAATGATTCCTAAAAGGAAGAAAATGTTCATTTCTAAAACGAATATCTTCCTTCGAAATTTCAGAATCGAACGAGTTGGTTTCAGGGTTAGTACTTCTATTCCTTCATTTCCTCAATCACTGTATTCAAAAATAATTACAGACAGCCAACTGCCGCAAAAGAAGCCTTCCGCTCGTCATGCTCCTCAAATTAAATGGCAGCCGTTCAGTGCTCACTTCCGAAAACTGTCCATCGATTAGAAAATAAAACGCTGCATGAATATTTCCGACGTTGAGTTCAGTTTTACATCGGATAAAAATCCGTTCAAGCGAATGACCTAATTGCTTCCGTTTTGTATTCGCGAGCACGTAGAATTTCCGCCTCATTTGCAAAAACTACGAAAGGACTTTTAGTAGAAATCCCTATCAACATGCAATTTATTCGAATGGTAAGATGATAAATTAATCAACGCAGTAAAAGAAATTCTTGACCAGATATGATGATCCTTCAGCATGCCACGGATCACTCGCGTAAAATTTAAGTTCACCGGAAGAATAGGCGCCTGAAATACCGTAAGAGCCACCCATCAGCTCGTTCCCGTCTTGCTTGACTGAATACTCGACTTTATTGTCGTCGTCTTCTGCTGCTGTGAGTGTCAAAGTGTACGTGCTCCAGTCGCCTTGATTGCATGGAACAGCAATTGTTCTCTCATAGCGGTATAAATCTGGATGATAAATTGCGATATACAATCTTTCATCGTGTCTATATCTCCAGATTGCGAAGACCCTGTCACCGATATTTCCTACGTTGGCATTACCATTGCCGACGCGAATAATATTTTTCGAACCATCGAAAGGATGAGCGTTCTCGCAGAAAACATCGACACTGATACTAAAATGAAGTGCTGCAGTTTTTGTTGTCAGGAGATTATTTCTTTGTGGAGCGCGGGGTTCACAATCAATGATCGTAGAACATTCTTGTGTCGAAAAAGTTGAGCTAGTCGAACATTTCGTACACTGTTGATCAACTGGGACTTCGGTATCGATACGGCAAGTGTAGTAATTTGAGTAGGAGCATCTTACATCATTCCACTTGTTGTCGCTCCTCATTTCGACGCAATCTTCGACACCACCAGAGTTATTTGGCTCGTTAGAGGACCAATGGTAAAAGGCGACTGGAGCACCGCTTGGAGTTTCCCAGGCGTAGGTCGACCCTCGAACAACTCCGATCCACTCTCGCCGATTTGGATTTATGGCCTTGTAAGAATGGTACTCAGCCTTGTTATTGAAAAAGGGAAGAGTTCCTCCGATTGAAGCGCAATTTGCTTTTGCGGAGTCAAAAGTCGCTGTTCCGCTCATGCTTCGGAACTCCGTGCATGTTTTCGTTGCTTGACATTGTTGATCAGCTGGTACTACTGTATCGAAACGGCAGGAGTACGATTGCTCGACCTCACAACGACGGTCATTCCACCGATTGTCGTATTCAAGCCTCATCTCTCCGCAGGCTTCGACACCGCCACCATTGTCGGGCTGGTTATCTGCCCACTCAGTAAAGGGGATATCACCGCCGGTCATAGTGACCCAGTTGTTGTTGCTGTTACGATAGATTCCGATCCACTCAGTTCGGTATGATTTGCCTGCTTTGTAGTCTCCGAGCTCTTCTTTATTGAAGAAGAAGGGAAGGTGACCTCCTTCTGCATTACAGTTATCTCTCGCTGTGTCGAAGTTGGCCTTTGCTTCGCCCATGTTTCGGAATTCAGTGCACGCTTTCATCTCAGTTTGACATTGTTGATTAGCCGGGACGATTTTTTCAATACGGCAGTGGTAGTGCTTCAAATTGCTGCAGCCAGAATCATTCCAAAGGAGCGACTCGTAGCTCTCAACGCATTTTTCGACGCCACCAGAATTGTTGGGCTCACCATCTGCCCAAGTG